AAATGATATGTACCATTTCTGATATAAAAGTTACATATAAAATATACCAGTATATGAATAAAATTTTTTCCTGGAAGGATACTCAAATGAATAATAATATTGCCTTTTGGGAGGTGAGACTATCTATTTTTCTATATTGCTTGAAATTTTTTTATGTATGTGCAGGCCTTAATTTCTAAAAAACACAAATTTTTAAAACAATGCTATTACTGTATCCTGTATCATCAAAAGTAGGACATTTATTAGTTTAGCATGTTTTTGTATTTTTGTATTTTGTATTAGTTTAGCAGTTATTAAATTTTAAAAACTTAAATCTGAAACATTACCAATGCTGTTTCATGTGTTTGAGGATGCTTAAAATTCACCATTTCCAGAGAGAGATGTTTTTTGATTCGTGTAACATCAGCTTCCCGTGCAGCTTGCAGCAATGAGTGGCCTTTAAATTCATCTAAATGAAGAAAAAGCATTTAAATCTTCATGAGAATTATCAAATTGATGGGACTTACCTAGTAAAAGACACTTAATACCATCTACCAAAATAGCCAAACAGAAGCTCTAAGGATATTCTCCAAATATAACCTCTGAAAAGGGAGACAGTGGTACTCCAGTTCCCCTCAGTTATGACCCAATTCATCCCCAAGTGTATACACAGGTTTAGCCCATGGCCAACTCAAGGTCTATTTTGGTCTGGAGGTATCTGGAGTGCTGTAATATATTCCCAGACCAGAGAGTTCTAAGAATTTTCCAAGGCACAGAACTTTTCTCTGTAAAGAAATAAAACAAAGGGCAATCACAATCCCTACACTAACATTATGGCAGTAGCAGATGGTTTTGCTCACACATCAGAGAAATGGGGACTAGACAGCTTGGATATTTCCTAGAGTAACGTACTGATGAAAAAATGAAAGAGGGTATTTTCTCAAGATCCCTCTTTTATTCATCAGACTTGTGAAACCACCCATTATCCTTTATTATTCCAGAATAATACAAGTTTGATATAAGTTTCCTATTTATGCATAGTAATACTGTATCTGAACCAGGTGGCTATTTCTCATTGTATCTACTTCAGTTATAGAAAGAAAACCATGGAACTGCCCAGATATCAAAAAATATTAGATGGAAAGGTCTGGGGACTATGTTTACAAGATAGCAATCCTACAAAATAATACTTTGACCTCACAGCAGATTAACTAGAAAGTCATATCAAAGATAGGAACAAAACTCAAATTCTTTCTTTTCAAAAGCATACCATCTATAAGACTAACATAAAAAGCATTTAATTTGACTTGAAAAAACGAATACAAATATTATTTTCTTTTCATAGCATCTTAAAAGCAGAAGGAGTGGAAACTTCTAAATGATTAAATATGCTAGTCTGAACAACAACAGATACCCGTGGCTAAGGAAAATATTCCATTATTTAAAAATTCCTCAAAAACTAACAAGAAAGAAAAAATTTTTAGTTTATTGATATCATAATATCCTAGCTGAACATTCATCATTTTATACTCACATGCTAATCTTTCTTTTAACTGTGGTGTGGGAGCCAAGTCTATGGCACTTTTATTGTGACAATTCAGCAGTGTTGGATCTGCACCATAACTTAGGAGAAGAGAACACACTTCAACCCTGTTCTTAGAAGCTGCCTCATGAAGAGGAGTGAATTGCCACAAGTCCATTGCATTTACGCAGGCACCATGCTGGGGGGAGGGGGGATAAAATATATGTTTAGTGTTCAATTTTTAAGAGAATTTAGAATTATTAGTACTGTGAAATTTAACATTATAAAAGCTTAAACAAGTTATGTTCCCAAAGTTCACTTTATAAACTAATTACTATTTTAGAAAGAGAATACATTTTTTCCCCATGGAAAAACAGTAGCTAGCTGCTACATCTACCCACAAGGGCCTATTTAACTCTATTATTGTTAAAAACAGTAAAGAATGAAGATTTATATTTAATTTGCATCTTTTCCAAGAACTAATTTTTTCCTTTTTTGAGGCATAATTTACATATGGTAAAATGTACAGCTCTTAAGTGTATAGTTTGATGAGTTTTGACAAATGCATATATCTGTAATACCATCACCTAATTCCAGATACAGGGCACTTTCATTATCCCAGAATGTTCTTTCATGCTCCTTTTGTAGACAACTCCTGCCCCCATTCTGACTGTAAGTACCATGTATTAGATTTACCTGTTCTTGAATTTCATAAAAATGAAATAACACAGGATGTACTTTTGTGTCTAGCTTCTTTCACACACCATGTTTCTGAGATTCATTCATGTTGTATCAATAGTTCGTTTTTATTGCTGAGTAGCATTCCATTATGCAGATATACCATAATTTACTTATCCATCATCCTATTGATGGGCATTTGGACTGTTTCTAGTTTTTGACTATTATGAATAAGCTGTTATGAACATTTCATATACAAGTCTCTTTATGAACACATGCTCTCATTTCTCTTGGATGTATCACTAGGAGTAGAACTGCAGGGTCATATGGTTGATATGTGCTTATTTTGATATGTGCTCAGTTTTTATTAGAAACTGCCAAACAGTTTTCTAAAGTGGCTGTATTATTTTTGCATAGCCATCAGCAATGTTTGAGTTCCAATGCTCCACACACTTGCTAATACTTAGTATTGTCAGTCTTCTCAATTTTAGCCATTTCCAAGTACTGGAGTTGGATGGACCACAGAAGTCACTCTAGTTCAATCTCTCACCAAACAAAATCTCTTTCATAGCATTCTTGCAGAAGGCAAACCAGCTACTTACTCTTTTGGTACTTTCAAAAATGGGAAACTAATTCTCAACTAACAAGGCTTTTTATAACTACTAGATAATTCCTGTGGTTAGGAAGTTCTCTTCTATATTAAGTTAAATACGTGCTTTAAACTTTGACCTATTAGTCTTCTTAGCAGCAAAAGAAATCAATATTCTTCTTTGCAATATTTGAAGGCAGCTCTTACGTTTTCCTTTTCCAGTCTAAACACCTTCAGCTCCTTCACTCATCCTTCTTAGCAGATGGTTTCTAGACTTTCTATCACCCTAGTGGTCCTCAACTAAACATACCTCAGTTTAAAAAATTCATTTAAAAAATATTGAGAACTTAGAATAACAGCAGATTATCAATGTGGTTCGACTGTGAAAGTACAGTGCATCCATTATTACATTTGCTCTTGACACTATACTTCTGCTACTGGCATAAAATTATGTTAGCTTTTCAAGCAGTCACATCCCAATTTGTACAGTGTCCTGGTCAGGAAAAGCAGTCACTGAATGTTTGCTGTTAAATGCCAGCTTCTGCTAGCCAGACTCTTTGGCAAGGGTTGCCAACTAACTCAGTGTTGCCCAGGACCTCTGCCTGTATTCCCTGTCCCTTTCTACATGCTGTCTCCTGACTCTCCTGAACTTGTCTACTCTGCTAAATGCCTGCACTCTCATCTCAGCTAACCTCCTCTATATGTATGACCTCTAGTCAGCCTCCCATTCTTATTTAGTGAACACTAGGTCTTAGGAAAACACCATTTGGTTGTCTGTAAGTCCCAATGCAATCCGTCTGATGTTTCACTCTCATCCACAATAACATTCCACATGTTCTGTTGAATTGAAGATTCAGTTTTACAATAAGCAAAAGCACTACTGCTATAAATGTATAATACTGCAGCCACATCATAAAGTTAAAAAGGCTTACGGGCTACTCAAGAGTATCTAATCATTATTATAAAGTTGTTTCTGTGGGAAAATGTATTCTGTGGTAGCACATGCCCAAAAGGAAGCACAGAGATTAACAGAAACAAATGTCCTCTTTCCCTTACCTAACAGCTGCTCACAGAACGAGAAAAAGCATTAAAGGAGCAGAATGGGTACTAAGTAAGAGAAGTCTAAAGAATGTGGTCAAATACATATGTACAGACTGGGGACAAAAGGAAATGGGTGTGGGTAACATCCATGGATCCACTCTCAAGGAGAATATATATCTTCTGTTCTCATCCAATAGGGAGCAAATTAAGTTTCTTGACAGCCCTGGGAACCTGCGTGTTAAACAACAGCCACACAGCATACTGCAAGGGAAGCTTACCAAGTGAGCCTGTTTTGACCCAAAGTACAACTAAGCAAGTCTTGCAAATGTTAACTGGTGGTTTTCATGATATACAGTTCACTAAAAATTACCTGCTGATATTTTCAAGAGTTTTGAAACTTCACCTTTAGCCATAAATTACAGAATCACTTAATCTTCTATTGGCAAGATGGTAGTGCTACTTTATATTTAAAATCTTAGGTATCTCAGAAATCGCAGAGAAGTCAGATGCTGACCTATAAATCATCTACATTTTATAATGATTATAAATACTCCTTCTATATCCACCAAGCACTAAAAACACATAGAAAACAGATATACTATGTATTTCAAGTAATTTTATATAATTATAAGAAAAGTACAAGAGAACTAACCTTGACCAGAAGTTCAGTTACTTCATAATGACCATAAGAACAGGCATTGTGTAAGGGTACCAGATCACTAAAACACGAAAGTGGGGGGGAAAGCCTGCGTTATTAGATTCCCTACGCTTAGTTTACTTAATTTTACTTAATTTAAATTTACACTTTAGATTTAAATACCAAATGGTTTCTGTGACCTAATAAAAATGTATAAAACTTAATAACATCCATTTGAACACTAAGTCCTAACAATTCTAATTCCCAAGTCTCTTTCAAATCCATCTTTTTTTTCCAACTGCCATTGCCATTGCCTCAGTTTGGGCCTTTATTATTTCTCCCTGTACTATTAAAATAGCCCCCACTTCAATTTATCTTCCAAGCTGTAGCCAGATTCTTCTAAAAGTTAAATCTGATGTGGTTATTCCTTGTTTTAATGTCCTTCATTGGTTCTTCCTTGCTTTCAAAAGACGGATCCAACTGCTTAGCCTGGCATACAATGATCTGACCCTCTCTAGCCTTGTCCTCCAATAACAATATGCTAAATGACTTGCAGTTCCCTGAATACACATAGTGTCCCCTGGGTGTAGGACAGATTTCCCTTCCTCCTGGTTTACTTCTAACACGTCTTCCAAACTCAGACCTCAAACACTAGCTCTTCTTTTAAACTTTTTTTTTGAGATTCCGTAAGGTAAACTGCTATATTCCTTAATAAACTAAAACCCAATTCCTTCATAATGGCATTGGAGGAGCAATTTTCTACATAGGAAGGTACAGTGGAACCTCAAAATCTTGACTCATATCTTTAGGCTGCTCCTCCATGGGATCATTCACTAATTAATTACCAAAGACACCATCATGATGGCCTCTGGTGAGTGATGGCCGCCCATGGCTTAGTCTTTAGTTCTGTGTCCTCTCTTTAAAGGCTCATGGCTTTCCTCACCATTTTTGATTATATGATTTCCTACTTAACTGAACACCAATTTCATTCCCACCTATCTATTAGCTACCTCTACATGAGTTCCCATCATCATCTCATAAAACCAAGAGTTCTAAAACTGAACTCAAAGTTTTCCCTCAAAATAATTTTCCCTCCTGGATTTCAGTAAGTGTATCATTAGCTCTCATTCATTTAGCTTCAAAATTTGAAATGTAGTAATCTTATCCCTCTCTTTCTCATCACATGCAGATAGTCAACAAATCTTACTCATTCTCACACTGTAATATCTCTTGCATCTGTGTCTTCTTTTCTATTTCCTCTGCCACCACTATTATAGAGCCTCAATATGCCTGAACCCCTACAATGCTCACTTTCCCAACTGTTGTTTTTCCCTCTAGTCTCCCTCTCCAATCTACCGTACACATTGCTGCCGGAATGTGCCTTCTAAAACTCCTCTTGTAGAAGGATCATGCCTCTTGCTTAAGATCCTTGAATGGCTGTTGTGGCTCACAGAACCAAGTTTAAATTCCTTAGGCTAGAATAGTCCTCTAAAACCTGGTTCTTACCTATTTCTCCAATCCTAACCTTCATTTCTCCCCCATGTGAATCATCTGCTTCAGCCAAGCTGGCCTAGTCATTGTTTCTTAAATATGCTGTAATATCTGCTTTAGCAACTCCTCTCACACCAATTCTCTTGCACAGAGTGATGTTTCCTAAACTCTCTGCTTTCTTGAACTGAGTCCAGATCAAGTACCACCTCCTCCTGAAGGATATCCCCACCACTACTGCCATCACTGAGCTCCCTCCTGGGAACTCCTGTAGTATTATCCCTCTCTATTTATCACCTCATACTTAGTAGGGAACTTGTATTGCCAGGTATCTTTCCATGCCACCTAATGTGTAGTGTAAGCCCTCTGAGTGGAGGCCTTAAGGTTTTATAATTCCGTGTTCTCAGAGCAATCTGCATATTGTAAAAGCTGATGAATGTTTACACTGTTTAGTAAAAAATATGATTTTTATAAGGTTACAGACGTTATTATAAGGACAGTGATATTTAAGAAACCCTCATTTTTGTTCAAATGCTTACTTACCCTTTATCTTTAGCATGGACATCTGCTCCATGTTGCAATAACAATTGTACAATCTTTACTCTGTTGTATCCTGCTGCTAAATGCAATGGAGTTGACTGAAATATTAATCAGACAAATCAATGAAATTCAAATAATGGCTTAAAAAAAGGGTGAAAAGGTAAAAATCCAAATATAAAACCAGAAATCCAGAAAGAAACTTTATAACTTCATTGTCTACATAGGTATCAATTTGGTTTCACAAAATCCAACATATATACCGAAGACATAGTATAAAAGTTTGTAAGTTCATTATTGCAAATGGGAAGCAAACAACTAAATGTTATCAATAAAGTTTTTTACTAAGTCTAATACAAATTACTGCTTAAAAGAAAATATCAGCACTCCCATCAAATGTTTTAATTTATAGTAAGATAAACACATTTTCATGCTACCAGATGAACACAAACTTAGTTGCAAAAGAAAAGTACCTTTCTGCCATCACTTGCATGGCAGTTGACATTTAATGGTGTAAGTAGAGCCATCATTTTTTCCTCATTGCCACTCCTAGCACACAAAAAATGTATTAGCAATTTATATTCTTTATCAGATCCTATATGGAGACATGCATGTGAGCATTAAAAAAAATTCTCCTTTAAAGTTTGCTTATCGTTAAAAAAAAAAAGGTGAAGTATTCATGGTACATATTTATAACACTAGTACACACCTGGCACTTTCCAAGAGTTCATCTTTCTTATATTCACCTATAAGTTAGAAAAAAAAAAAGGGGGGGCAGAAATTTTAAAAATTTAATTACAAAAGTAATGACAGTTTTATGCATAAAGATACTCACTGAATTATATTTAAAGTAGAAAAATCTGGAAATTTATTTCCAGTAAGTGGCAAATGGTTAATCAACAGAATATTGTGCAGTTTAAAAATATTTATATGATGAACATGGGATACCTTTGTTATGAAAGCAAAAAAAAAATAATACAGTGTTATATAATGCAGTGAAACTACAAATATATGAAAACAATATGCATACAAAAAGAAAAGCCAAGAAGGAAATATACCAAAATTTTAACAAAGTCTATCTTAGGTGGTAGGTTACAGACGAGCTTTTCCTTTTTTACTCCTCAAATTTCCTAAAACCAGTATGTTATTTGTGTAACAGACAAAATGCATCCACAACTTCAATTCAAAAGCAAAACAAGCAAAATCCAACACACCAACATTACAGAAATGACAAAAGATAATCTATACCATTACCAACTGAACATAATCATTAACATTTTTATGAATCTAGAAGATTTTTCAACACTAAAATTGTTTTTATGATACTTTAAATATATACAAATAAAAACAGGATTAAACAAACTCTTTATGCCTATAGCTTTTATATTTACAAATGAACACAAACAAAACTTTAAAATCAATACAATTTAAATTAACATAATTTAACATAACTGATAGTGTTTATTGACTTGCTGAAACAAAATCCAAACTGCTGCCCACAACATGAATTGTGTACTAAACACTAGTCCAAGGCTTCTTTTGAGCCTCAAGATTTCTAAAAAAGATAAAAGCAGGGAATAGCATGGAATAGTGAAGGAGGAAATAAACACTGATAGTTACAATAATAGACCACTCTTCTAGAACCCTGTTAAATTTTCTCAGTAATACCAGAAAAAATATCACAAAGTTCAAGCACAAAAGCTCATGCAGAACCCCTCAGACTCTTGGCTATTAGATTAGACATAATTCTAATGGTGATCACACAGTAGATAAGAATCCAGAAAATAACATGGCAGAGGGTTGCTTAAAAGGAAACACTTTGATGAGAGTGAAAACATGTGAAGTAGCTACTACCACTCAAAAAAGCTTAACAGTCTAAAATGAACCTACAGACTACAGCTTTATACCCCTTAATAGATTCCAAGGACATGACCATGTGACAGTAGAGCACAATAATTGGCACTCCTCAGGGTAGTGAAATTGGGGTGCCCAGAATCCCCTATTTAGAAAAGCAAGAGAGATCGCTTCTCGGCCTTTTGGCTAAGATCAAGTGTAGAAAAGCAAGAGATTGGTTAAAGCTTTCTGAAAGGGTTTCATTAAAAACAAAAAAGAAGAAAAAAGATTAAAATACATTTTTAAAAAAAGAATAGTATACAAAAGTATATAAATGTAAGTTATCTGGAAAATTCAGGAATATTTTAAAAATATCCTGAAAACATGATAGTAACACACAATTATCTATCACCCCTGCTCCCAGTAAGGCAGGAATCACAAATTTAAACACCAATTTAAAGAGAACAAAAAAGTTTTACCTTTCTTAGACAAGAATCAAATACTAACTGTCCAGAGGTAGAAAAGAATAAGCAACTGAACTGACACTACTTTAAAAATCTAGTTAAGGTCATTAACCACAGGAAGGCAACTATCTACCAGGCAAGTTCATTCTTTATACTCTTCCTGGAATACCCAAAGAGTACACAGACTTACCAGTCAGCACAGCCTTGGCAGACGGGTCTGCTAAATCCAGTGCTGTCCTTCCATCTGTATTTCGGATGGTTGGCTCAGCTCCATGCTGTAAGAGCACTGCAAATAGCAACACTACCTTTCAAAATGATAATCATGACAATTTGATTTTAGTAAATCATTTTCTCAAAAATTCTGGTCCAGAAGTCTCAAAGTTATAAAGACCTTTCATATCCTGAGAGTATGGTAAATTTTATATCTTAAAGATAAAAATATATAAAATATTCCATTATTTAATGTATTAGACACATTAAATAAATGTCCCCTAAGCTCAATGTCAGATTTTCCTTTGCTGACAAGTGACTAGGGATAGATACGAGTGTATAAGAAAATAAAAGGCAAGTTTGCTTGAAAGCTCATTTTCTCATTCCAAATGAACACTGCATATGTTAGAAAGATTGTTCTATTATAACAGAAATGAAATTTCTACAGCCATAGATAGCCTAGGAATCTGTGGGATTAAAAAAAGAAAAAAAACCACACAGGCAAATTCTTTAAAAAAACGAAAGAAAAATACTCTCTGTAGGGTAACAACCCCAAATCAAAACTGCTACATTACATACAACCCAAAGCACATAAAAAGAGAAGACTTATGCTATACTCTGTATTATTTGTTGTATGAAGATATTCCAGCATACTCTATAGATAAGGAGCTGGGGAAAGACAGGCAAATACAAGCAGAAAGGGAAGCCCAGTCTCTGTTCTTCGATAGGGTTAATATTCATTCCACTCTACTTCTATCTATAAAGTACTGTCCAACAGAAATAAAATGTGAGCCACATAAGTAATTCAAAATTTTCTAGTAGGCACATTAAAAAAATAAGAAGAAACAGGTTAAACTAATTTTAACACATTTTATTTAACCCAATATAACCAAAATATTCTTATTTCAATATTTACATTTATATTATAATCAGTATAAAACTGAGATATTTTGCATTCCTTTTTTACGCACCAAGTCTTTGAAATCTGTCATGTATTTTCCCCTTACAGCACATCTCAATTCAGACTAACCGCATTACAAGTCCTCAGCTATCATATTGGACAGTGCAGATCTATGACTATATTTGGAAAACTCTACATTATTAAAGCTAATTATTTATATGTCTGAGACTCAGGTACCAGAAAAGGATTATGAGCAGAGGGCAATAGCAATTTAAGATAACATACAGGAAAGGAGAAACTAGGTAATCCGTTTCATATCTTTATAAATTACCTAATTTAAACTAAGCTGGTGTCTTTGGTATAAATAATGATTTGGGTTTTGGGGTAAGAGGAGAGCAAGTCCAGCACAGAGCCCCTGGACTTTTCCTAGTGCACAGAACTGGTTTTCTGTCTGTCTCGGGGATTCCAACTGTCCCTGTTTTGCATCAGGAAATACAGTTAAGGTAGCAGAGTCCAAAATTCCTTACGCTGTTAGGCTCAGAAAAGTCAATACCAGGTTAATGAAAACTCTCAAATAAGCAGCCTTCTCACATATAATTTTCTGCTAGTGATCAACCAGTCAGGCAAATCCTATCTCATTTGTTTGAAGTATTCTAAATGACTGATCATTTTTCCTTTAAATGCTTCTTTACTTACCCTGCCATTTTTATTCTCCTACAACCCTGGTTCATGCCCTCATTATTTCTCATCCTGGTTATTCCACCGCTTCCTAGCTAGTCTCCCTGATGCCATCCACTCTACCCAGCCCCCTACCAGATCACTCTTTCTAAAACATACTATCATACCAGTGTTCTCCTCCTTAAAAGTCTTCAATGATTCCACACTACCTACATAACAATATCAAGCCCCTAAATCTGGAATTCACAGCTCTTTATAAAGAAGTCCTAACTACCTTTTCCATCTTTCTCCCACTACTTTCTGGAAAGACTCTGGGAAGGAATGATTTCCTTCCAGTAGCCAAGTCACTACACTCTTTATCCTCTAACACTCCTTGCTCACTTCCACCATGCCTTTATCTGGTTCTTTGTTTGCCTTATCTCCCAAGAGACTCCAAACTTTTAGAGAACAGGAATTTTGTACTCTATTCTCTAAACAATTTACGCTCAGTGCCATACACAAAAAAACACTCAGTGATTAGTGGGTTAGATTAAATCATAAAGTGTTCTTAAAAAGTTAAATTCAGCCTCGCAGAATTTCAATTTAGATTCAGAATAGTTACAACCTATTTCAGGAAAATTCTAGAAAGTAAATACAGTCTTACCAATACAAACATCAATCTTTCCTTTAATTGCAGCTTCATGGAGAGGAGTATAATTCCAATTATCACGAGCATTTGGGTCTGCACCATGTCGCAAAAGGAGATTGACTACTTCAGCATGACCAAAAGAGCATGCGTTATGAAGAGGAATAAGCCCCCCATCATCACGTGCCTGGACATTTGCACCATTCTGAAGCAAATATTCAACTACATCTTTTCGCCCAAAACCTAGAAAAAAACAAATTATCCACATTTACGTTCTCCAAAAAAAATACATCAAATTAGAATACATAAGTACAAACCATGCTAAAATGTTTTGGATAGAAGATAATAACCGAGTCAACAATTCAAGAATTTATTGATGAAAAGGTGGTTTGAAATACATCACTAACTAATCTTAATGAGAAAGCCAAGGGTCTCTCCAATGCCTTAGGTAGTACTAACTTCAGAGAGACGTTATGCGGGTGACTGCAAGCCCAAAGTTCAAACGTTTCCCACTCTACAACAGCATTTCTAATTGCAAATACAGAGTATTTAATGTGTGTACATTTTCAGATGTTGAAAGTATATAACTCTTGTTAGAATCCCTTTCCCACATCTGTCTCCTAAAATGTTTCTACTAAACTGGGAGACTATGAGATAGCAACAAAAAAAGATCTGCTTATAGTTTACATTTGTCTATGTAGTGAAGATAGAGGCAATCCTAGGCAAAAGTGCGAAATTAGGTGTCTTTAAAGGAGCCCCTACTTTGCCATTTGCACAACACAAGCAAATTCCTTCTAGGTAGGAGACCTCCTTTAGAAATCCATGTCCCACAGTTCTCCTGCAATTGCCCTCATATCAAACAAAACAAAAAAGGCTGACAACTCATTTATACTGGTTTACAGATTTAGTACCAATGAGTTTCAATCTCTTACCATTTTCAAATAACAGCACAAAATCTTTTTACAGTTAACTGTGAAATGAAAACGATTTCAGGCATATGTTAAAGTAGATGGGGAGGTATATATGTGTGTGTTGGGAGAGAGAGAAAGGACCTTTTCACTCATCTGAAATTTTACCAGAATATTTTTAAAACCACCAAGTCTGAATGTAGTCCTTCTAAAAAGACCAGAGTGGGAGTGGAATGAGAAAGCAACGGTACAATGTTTCCAAGGTGTGTGCCTGGGGCTGGCCTGGCTGAAGCTAATGGAAGAGTTACATGGTTGAAGAGATTAACTGGATTCTTTATTAGTTTTGTTTTAATATCGCTAGGCTCTAGGCACCAAGATGAGTCTCTATCTTTTATTCTCTCTATTCTCAAAGAGCTTACAATTTAAGATGTGTAGAAACAATAAGAACCAATAATTTCAATACAATGTAATTGTCACAGTAGAGGTATATATAAAATACTACTAGAGCTCAAAGAAAGGAATACTTAAATTAGGGGAAAGCAGAGAATAGAAAGGACTATCCCAGAGGAGACTCCAGCAAAAACATCTGAGCTGAAGGCTTACAGAAAAGTTAAGGAATCATTAGAGAAATGAGGAGTGAAGAGGTGGGAAGGAAGGAGCTGAGCAAGAGAAAAGCATTGCAGTCCAAGCAGAAGAAACAAAATGTACACAGGCAAGGAAGCATGCAACAGCAAATCATTCGTAATAGCCAGGACACAGAATGCCCAAGTAGGCAGATGCCAGATGACGAAGAACCTTATATGTCATGTTAAGGTGGCATTTGGACTTTGTCCTATAAACTAGTGTTCTTCAACTGCTTTCAGGCAGATTTTAATGAAATCTTTTTTAAAAAACTGATTTAATCAACACATAACGTTATATTAGTTTCAGGTATACAACATGATGATTTGCTATTTGTATATATTGCAAAATGATCACCACAATAAGTCTAGTTTACAGCCATCACCACATATAGTTACAAATGTTTCTTTCTTGTGATGAGAACTTTTAAGAAGTATTCTCAGCAACTTTCAAACATACAACACAGTTTTATTAACTATAGTCACCATGCTGTACATTATGTCCCCAGGACTTATTTATTTTATAACTGGAAGTTTGTACCACCTTCAACCATTTTACCCATCCCCTCACCCACCTCCTCTGGCAACCAACAACCTGTTCTCTGTACCTATAAGCTCAGTTTTGTTTTTTTCCCCCCAAGATTCCACAGTGAGATCATACAGTATTTGTCTTTCTCTGACTTATTTCGCTTAGCATAATGCCCTCAAAGTCCACTCATTTTGTTGCAAATAGCAAGATTTCATTCTTTTTTACATCTGAATAAAATTCCATTGTGTACATATACCACATTTTCTTTATCCATTCATCCATCTATGGATACTTAGGTTACTTCCCTGTCTTGGCTATTGTAAATAATGCTGCAATGAACATGGGGGTACATTTATCTTTTCGAGTTAGCATTTCCTAAGGCAATTTTATATAAAATCTAATATATGTCATGTTCACCAAAAAAATACCCAATGCCTGGTACATAGTTGGCACTCATAGAGTTGCAAATTAACTGAACTAGGGCCGGCTCCGTGGCTTAGCGGTTAAGTGCGCGCGCTCTGATGCTGGCGGCCCGGGTTCGGATCCCGGGAGCGCCCCCGAGGCACCACTTCTCCGTCCAACGCGAGGCCGAGTCCCACGTACAGCAACTAGAAGGATGTGAACCTATGACATACAGCTGTCTACTGGGGCTTTGGGGGGAAAAAACTGAATAAATAAAATCTTTAAAAAAAAAAAAAATTAACTGAACTCAATTTAATAAAATAAAACTATTCAGGTTGAATCCTCCTCCTTCTCACAAAGACCCGAAGGAAATTATCCCTGTATTCCTGAGTTACCTCTTAGAAACTGTACGAAAAATACTGCTACTGTCCTTCAACACATCAGTGGTGGCTGAAGGACAAATACCTACTAATATTTTTTTTAAAAATTATTTTGCATCTTCCTTTTCAAAAAACCTAATATTATCCTAGAAATCAATTGCTATCAGTACATATTTTATTGGTCGCAAGTATCATAATTTAACCAGTTCCTTTCTCATGGGCAGTTGGGTTGTTTCTAATCTTTTGCTACTGTACACAATGTTGCCAGGAGCAACTAAACAGAGTTAGGAGAGAAAATTGACGGCAACTGACGACTTCTTTCTTTTGGAGAAAGCAGAGAAGGAATGGGAGTGACCATCTGATCTCTGAGATACAAAATAAAACAGGTTTTGTTGGACAAGATGATTTGTTTTTGGAAATGCTTAGTTTGAGGTGCTTGTGGAACAAACGTCCAGTAAATAGAAGGTTCTGTGGATCTTGAACTCAGGAAACCAGTATAAGCTGGAGACTGACATATGGAGTTGTGACCATAAAGATGGTATTTGAAGCCATGCACGAAAATGAATGAAGTTGACTAGAGCACACTAGTTTTCTACCTGTTTTGTTGAAGGAAGTGTACTTTCTATCAAATTTCAATCCCTTCTCACCTTGCATTGTAGTCCTTTCTCATCTTCTTAAGGTCTTTTTCTTTCCCCACCCCCAATCTCTTCCTCTCTACCTGATCATTCCTAACAGTACATAAACATGTTCTAATATCTTCCATTTTATAAAAGATATTCTCCCTGAATTCACATTTCCGTTTCTCTGCTCCCCTGCATAACCAAATCTCAAAGGGTTGTCACTAATTCTCTATCTTCCATTCACTCTTCTCTCAGATTCAGTCTGGCTTCTGCTTCTTCCTTACAACTGGTACTTATTTTTTTTTTTAATTAATTAATTTATTTATTCATTTTTCCCCCAAAGCCCCAGTAGATAGTCGTATGTCACAGCCGCACATCCTTCTAGTTGCTGCATGTAGGACGCGGCCTCAGCATGGCTGGACAAGCGGTGCGTCGGTGTGCGCCCGGGATCCGAACCTGGGCGGCCAGCAGCGGAGCGCACACACTTAACCGCTAAGCCACGGGGCCGGCCCACCACTGGTACTTAAAATCTCCATGTTGCCAAATCCAAGGGACACGTGTCTGTCCTCATTTGACTAGACCTCTCAGCGACAAGTGACACCCTCTCCAAAGTTTCTATGACATCACACTATCCTGGTTTTCCTCCTGTCTCACCCATTCATTTAACAAATGATCAGGGAATATCTACTATGGGACAGACACTTTTCTGGGTGTCTGAGACACACCAGTGAACAAAAGAGACCAAATTGCTGCCTCTGAGGAACTTTTATTCTATGGAGGTGGGGGAGATGAGCAAGAAATGAAAAAAAAATATGCATATTAGAAGGTAATTAGAAAAAGAGCAGAATAAGGAGTGATCAAGGTGTGTGTTTGGGGGGGGTGGTTGTAAAGTTGAATAGGGAGGTCACCACAGGCATTGTTGAGATGGTGACATTTGATCAAAGACTTAGAGAGAGAGAGCCTTACTGGCCAACAGTAAGGAGGCCAGAGTGACTGGAGCCAAGTAAGAAAGGGTTAGCGTAGTAGGAGATGACGTTAGAAGCAAAGAGGGCCAGACAGAGAGGCTTGAGGACCACCGTAAGAACTTTGGCTTTTTACTCTGAGGAAAATGGAGAGTCACTGCAGGGTTTTGAGTTGATAAGTTACATGATAGGACTTACAACTGAAAAGTACCCTCTGGCTGTTGAGACTAGACTGTAGGGGTTAAAGGCAGAAGTAGATGAGAGATTATGGTGATTTGGACCATAATCTGGTGATACTTGTCAGAATAATAAGTGGCAAATTCTGGATACTCTGAAGGTAGAGCCAGCATAGCTTCCTCATGGATTGAATGTGGGGTGAGGGTAAGGGTGAGAAGGTGAGAAAGGGTGAAGGCAAGACAGGAGTCATGGATGATCTCAAGGTTTCTGGACTGAGAAATGGAGGGGTGGAGCTGGCACCAACTCAGATGGGGAAGGCTGCAGATGAAATAAGTCCGTGGCAGAAGATGGGAGTTCAAATTTTGGACATGTCCTATCTCCTCGAGACTACCATAAATAGCCAATTGGCTTCCTCCACCCAATTTCTAAATGCCAAGATTTCTCAAGACTCAGTTCTCTACCCTATGCTCCCTTCTTAGATGACCTCATCTACTCCTATGGCTTTAAATGCTACCTAGATACACAACCCCCAGTCTAGACTTTTCACCTGAATGTTTCAAAGGCATCTCAAACTCAACATCTTCCCCATTTCTGTTGATAACAGCCCTAACCAAACCACCACTGTCTCCAACCTGAACTCCTGCA